TGTCGGGTATGAGCGTCACCTGACTGGCCAGCTGTGTGGCGTGTTTGGCGTGTTGTATGTCGGGTATGAGCGTCACCTGACTGGCCAGCTGTGTGGCGTGTTTAGCGTGTTGTATGTCAGGTATGAGCGCCACCTGACTGGCCAGCTGTGTGGCGTGTTTGGCGTGTTGTATGTCGGGTATGAGCGTCACCTGACTGGCCAGCTGTGTGGCGTGTTTGGCGTGTTGTATGTCGGGTATGAGCGTCACCTGACTGGCCAGCTGTGTGGCGTGTTTAGCGTGTTGTATGTCAGGTATGAGCGTCACCTGACTGGCCAGCTGTGTGGCGTGTTTGGCGTGTTGTATGTCGGGTATGAGCGTCACCTGACTGGCCAGCTGTGTGGCGTGTTTGGCGTGTTGTATGTCGGGTATGAGCGTCACCTGACTGGCCAGCTGTGTGGCGTGTTTAGCGTGTTGTATGTCAGGTATGAGCGTCACCTGACTGGCCAGCTGTGTGGCGTGTTTGGCGTGTTGTATGTCGGGTATGAGCGTCACCTGACTGGCCAGCTGTGTGGCGTGTTTGGCGTGTTGTATGTCGGGTATGAGCGTCACCTGACTGGCCAGCTGTGTGGCGTGTTTGGCGTGTTGTATGTCGGGTATGAGCGTCACCTGACTGGCCAGCTGTGTCGCGTGTTTGGCGTGTTGTATGTCGGGTATGAGCGTCACCTGACTGGCCAGCTGTGTGGCGTGTTTGGCGTGTTGTATGTCGGGTCGCTGCAGAAGCTCTCGCTGGTCAAACGCCTGCGCTTTACTCCTGTAGGCCACCTGTGAGGAGACACACATTACTCATGACATGTAAACACTGGTGTGTGTGTGTGTGTGTGTGTCTGTGTGTGTGAGTGTGTGTACGTGCGTCACTCACGTCACTGGCGAGTTTGCTGGCATGAGCAGCGTTCAGGATGTCGGGTCTGTCAGTCACATCACTGTATTTATGAAGTTCCTCTTTCCCTCTGCGATACTCAACCTTCAGCAACAACAGAGCTCAGTTTCACCTGCGTGTGTGTGTGTGTGTGTGTGTGTGTGTGTGTGTGTGTGTGTTTACCTCGCTCTGGTGTTTGTTGACCTGTATCGCGTGTGTGACGTCGGGAAGATCCTTCATCTGTGTGTAGTTTGACTTGCCTTTCTCTGAGTTAAACTTCTCTTTATAGAGTTTCTACAGAGAGAATATTGATTATACACACAATACAACACTAACACACACACACACACACACACACACACACACACACACACTCACACACACACACTCACAAAGACACTCAAACTCACACACTTACACACTCACTTTCACACACTCACTTTCACACACACACACACACACACACACACACACACACACACACACACACACACACACACACACACACGCACACACACTCTCTCACAATAACACACACTCTCACAATAACACACACACACTCACGTCACTCTGCTGTTTGGACACTTCTTTAGCGAACAGCGTCTCGATGGTCTGCGGCATCTGAGCATAGAGACACACCTGAGCGTCCGGTTTACCCGAGTCCTTATAGCTCTTCTGCACACAGTCACACACACACACACACACAGCAGCGTCAGTGGTGTGAGTGTGTGTGTGTGTACTTGACTGTAGAGCTGTGTGTGTGTGTGTGTGTGTGTGTGTGTACCTGACTGTAGAGCTGTGTGTGTGTGTGTGTGTGTGTGTGTGTGTGCCTGACGGTAGAGCTGTGTGTGTGTGTGTGTGTGTGTGTGTGTGTACCTGACTGTAGAGCTGTGTGTGTGTGTGTGTGTACCTGACTGTAGAGCTGTGTGTGTGTGTGTGTGTGTGTGTGTGTGTGTACCTGACTGTAGAGCTGAGTGTGTGTGTGCGTGTGTGTGTACCTGACTGTAGAGCTGTGTGTGTGTGTGTACCTGACTGTAGAGCTGTGTGTGTGTGTGTGCGTGTGTGTACCCGACTGTAGAGCTGTGTGTGTGTGTGTGTGTGTGTGTGTGTACCTGACTGTAGAGCTGTGTGTGTGTGTGTGTGTGTGTGTGTACCCGACTGTAGAGCTGTGTGTGTGTGTGTGTGTGTGTACCCGACTGTAGAGCTGTGTGTGTGTGTGTGTGTACCTGACTGTAGAGCTGTGTGTGTGTGTGTGTGCGTGTGTACCCGACTGTAGAGCTGTGTGTGTGTGTGTGTGTGTACCTGACTGTAGAGCTGTGTGTGTGTGTGTGTGTGTGTGTGTGTGTGTGTGTACCCGACTGTAGAGCTGTGTGTGTGTGTGTGTGTGTGTACCCGACTGTAGAGCTGTGTGTGTGTGTGTGTGTGTACCTGACTGTAGAGCTGTGTGTGTGTGTGCGTGTGTGTACCCGACTGTAGAGCTGTGTGTGTGTGTGTACCCGACTGTAGAGCTGTGTGTGTGTGTGTACCCGACTGTAGAGCTGTGTGTGTGTGTGTACCCGACTGTAGAGCTGTGCGTGTGTGTGTACCCAACTGTAGAGCTGTGTGTGTGTGTGTGTGTGTGTACCCGACTGTAGAGCTGTGTGTGTGTGTGTACCCGACTGTAGAGCTGTGTGTGTGTGTGTACCCGACTGTAGAGCTGTGTGTGTGTGTGTACCTGATTGTAGAGCTGTGTGTGTGTGTGTACCTGACTGTAGAGCTGTGTGTGTGTGTGTGTGTGTGTGTGTGTGTACCCGACTGTAGAGCTGTGTGTGTGTGTGTGTGTGTGTGTGTGTACCTGACTGTAGAGCTGTGTGTGTGTGTGTGCGTGTGTGTACCCGACTGTAGAGCTGTATGTGTGTGTGTGTGTGTGTGTGTGTGTGTACCTGACTGTAGAGCTGTGTGTGTGTGTGTGTGTGTGTGTACCCGACTGTAGAGCTGTGTGTGTGTGTGTGTGTGTGTGTGTGTACCCGACTGTAGAGCTGTGTGTGTGTGTGTGTGTGTACCTGACTGTAGAGCTGTGTGTGTGTGTGTGTGTGCGTGTGTGTACCCGACTGTAGAGCTGTGTGTGTGTGTGTGTGTACCTGACTGTAGAGCTGTGTGTGTGTGTGTGTGTGTGTGTGTACCCGACTGTAGAGCTGTGTGTGTGTGTGTGTGTGTGTGTGTGTGTGTGTACCTGACTGTAGAGCTGTGTGTGTGTGTGCGTGTGTGTACCCGACTGTAGAGCTGTGTGTGTGTGTGTACCCGACTGTAGAGCTGTGTGTGTGTGTGTACCCAACTGTAGAGCTGTGTGTGTGTGTGTACCTGATTGTAGAGCTGTGTGTGTGTGTACCTGACTGTAGAGCTGTGTGTGTGTGTGTGTGTGTACCCGACTGTAGAGCTGTGTGTGTGTGTGTGTGTGTGTGTGTGTACCTGACTGTAGAGCTGTGTGTGTGTGTGTGTGTGTGTGTGTACCTGACTGTAGAGCTGTGTGTGTGTGTGTGTGTGTGTGTGTACCTGACTGTAGAGCTGTGTGTGTGTGTGTGTGTGTGTGTGTGTGTACCCGACTGTAGAGCTGTGTGTGTGTGTGTGTGTGTGTGTGTACCTGACTGTAGAGCTGTGTGAGCTCGCGGGCGTGTTGTGTCTCACTGGTTTGAGGTAGACGGGAGTAAAGGCAGTTCTGCATCTCCTTTTTTCCATCCGCCTTATATTTGTTCTACAATCAAGAATATAAGAGGATGAGGAAGAGGAAGAGGATGAGGAAGAGGATGAAGATGAGGAAGAGGATGAGGTAGAGAATGAGAAAAAGGATGAGGAAGAGGATGAAGATGAGGAAGAGGATGAAGAGGATGAAGATGAGGAAGAGGATGAAGATGAGGAAGAGGATGAGGATGAGGATGAAGATCAGGAAGAGGATGAGGATGAGGAAAAGGATGAGGAAGAGGATGAAGATGAGGAAGATGATGAAGATGAGGATGAGGATGAAGACGAGGAAGAGGATGAAGATGAGGATGAGGATGAGGAAAAGGATGAGGAAGAGGATGAAGATGAGGAAGAGGATGAAGATGAGGAAGATGAGGAAGAGGATGAGGATGAGGAAGAGGATGAGGAAAAGGATGAGGAAGAGGATGAAGATGAGGAAGAGGATGAAGATGAGGAAGAGGATGAAGATGAGGAAGAGGATGAAGATGAGGAAGATGAGGATGAGGATGAAGATGAGGAAGAGGATGAAGATGAGGAAGATGAGGAAGAGGATGAGGATGAGGAAGAGGATGAAGATGAGGAAGAGGATGAAGATGAGGAAGGGGATGAGGATGAGGAAAAGGATGAGGAAGAGGATGAAGATGAGGAAGAGGATGAAGATGAGGAAGATGAGGATGAGGAAGAGGATGAAGATGAGGAAGAGGATGAAGATGAGGAAGATGAGGAAGAGGATGAGGATGAGGAAGAGGATGAAGATGAGGAAGAGGATGAAGATGAGGAAGGGGATGAGGATGAGGAAAAGGATGAGGAAGAGGATGAAGATGAGGATGAGGAAGAGGATGAAGATGAGGAAGAGGAAGAGTGTTTCACCTCACTGATGAGCGGCGTCAGCTCCTTCACAAACTGTGTGTGCAGCGTCTCGGGCAGCTGAGAGTACACACACTGAGACAGATCCTCCTGAGTCTCTCTGCGGTACTGATTCTACAACACACACACACACACACACACATCATCATCATCACCACACACACACACACACACATCATCATCATCACCACACACACACACACACACACACACTGAGACAGATCCTCCTGAGTCTCTCTGCGGTACTGATTCTACAACACACACACACACACACACACATCATCATCATCACCACACACACACACACACACATCATCATCATCACCACACACACACACACACACACACTGAGACAGATCCTCCTGAGTCTCTCTGCGGTACTGATTCTACAACACACACACACACACACACACACACACACACACACACACACACACATCATCATCATCACCACACACACACACACACACACACACTGAGACAGATCCTCCTGAGTCTCTCTGCGGTACTGATTCTACAACACACACACACACACCATCATCACACACACACACACACACACACACTATCATCACACACACACACACATCATCATCATCATCATCATCATCACACACACACACACCATCATCACACACACACACACATCATCATCATCACACACACACACACACACACACACACACACACCATCATCACACACACACACACACACACACACACATCATCATCATCACACACACACACACACACACACATCATCATCATCACCACACACACACACACACTGAGACAGATCCTCCTGAGTCTCTCTGCGGTACTGATTCTACAACACACACACACACACACACACACACACACACATCATCACACACACACACACACACACATCATCATCATCATCATCACACACACACACACCATCATCACACACACACACACACACACACATCATCATCACACACACACACACACACACACACACGTACGTCACTCTGGAGATCCGCCATCTGTTTGGCGAGCTGCGTCTCCTGTGTTTGCGGCAGCTGAGAGTAAAAACTGCTGGAGTTCTCCTGTTTGCAGCTCCGCTTGTACTTATGCTGAGAGGAAACAATCAGATTCATGATATGAGACAATTCACAGAGTCTTTATCCCGAGGTTTCCTGAAGTCCGCCGGACCCAGGCCGGACCCAGGCCAGATGGAGGACCTGCGCCTGGACACGGCCACAACGCATCCCTGAAGTCAATCAATCAATCAATCAACTTTTATTTATATAGCACAATAAAAGCAACAGTAGTTGGCCATTGTGCTGTACAACAGAATAAATATCTTACAAACAAGACAGACCGCAAAGCAAATGATAAAGGGAGTTTACATCAGAAACACCAATTTGACAATTCAACATTAAAATCAAGGACAATTGTAAGCCAGTGAAAACAGGTAGGTTTTTAACTTAGATTTAAAAACAGACTCTGTGGATATTAGTCTTAAAGACACAGGAAGACGATTCCACAGTTTTGGACCAACAACAGAAAGTGCCAGCAGAGATTGGGTCATCTAGCCTCTCCCCTGTGAAGGCCTCATCGACTCGTCTTGATCTTCAACCAGATGGAACTGGATAATATATATATTATATAATTCTGCCTGAATCATAATCATAATCATACACTGTTGGTTGGTTGGCCAGAGGAGAACTGAGCGACTGAGCCTGGTTTCTCCCAAGGTTTATTTCTTCATTCTGTCACTGATGGAGTTTTGGCTTTTGTCTTGCTTAGTTGGAGACACTTAATATTCAACACTATTATTGATCTCCTGCATTGACAGCATTATATGAGAACTGAGCAAGACGATGACATCACGGTTTACTCCAGTGCAGCTATATATATAATATATAAATGATTAACTTTTTTGAGTGTGTGTGTGAGAGAGAGAGTGAGTGTGTGTGTATGTGTGTGTGTGAGAGAGAGAGAGAGAGAGAGAGAGAGAGAGAGAGAGAGAGAGTGAGTGTGTGTGTGTGTGTGAGAGAGAGAGAGAGAGAGAGAGTGAGTGTGTGTGTGTGTGAGAGAGAGAGAGAGGGTGTGAGAGAGTGTTTGTGTGTGTGTGTGTGTGTGTGTGTGTGTGAGCTCAGTGTGTGTGAGCTCAGTGTGTGTGTGTGTGTGTGTGAGAGAGAGAGAGAGGGTGTGAGAGAGTGTTTGTGTGTGTGTGTGTGTGTGTGTGTGTGTGTGTGAGCTCAGTGTGTGTGAGCTCAGTGTGTGTGTGTGTGTGTGTGAGAGAGAGAGAGAGGGTGTGAGAGAGTGTTTGTGTGTGTGTGTGTGTGTGTGTGTGTGTGTGTGTGTGTGTGAGCTCAGTGTGTGTGTGTGTGTGTGTGTGTGTGAGAGAGAGAGAGAGGGTGTGAGAGAGTGTTTGATTGTGTGTGTGTGTGTGTGTGTGTGTGTGAGCTCAGTGTGTGTGTGTGTGTGTGTGTGTGTGAGAGAGAGAGAGAGAGAGGGTGTGAGAGAGTGTTTGATTGTGTGTGTGTGTGTGTGTGTGTGTGTGTGTGTGTGTGTATGTGTACTGTGAATTACACTCACCTCGCTCAGCAGTTCAGAGGCGTGTCTGGCGTGTTTAGTCTCAGTCGTCTCAGGCAGAAGAGAGTACAGACTCACAGAAGCATCTTTCTTGGCCTCCTCCTTGTATTTCCTCTGAAATGAATGAATGAATGAATGAATGAATGAATGAATGAATGAATGAATGAATGAGGCATTTATATAGCGCTTTCATATGTACTACTATACACCCAAAGCGCTTTACAATCATATCAGGGGTTCTCTCCTCAACCAGCACCAGTGTGCAGCGTCCACTTGGATGATACGACGGCAGCCACAGTACAACGGCGCCAGTGCGCTCCCCACACACCAGCTTATAGTTGGAGAGGAGAGAGAGTGATAGAGCCAATTCAGTGGATGGGGATTATTAGGAGGCCATGATTGGCAGGGGCCAATGGGTGGAATGTGGCCAGGACACCGGGGTAACACCCCTACTCTTTACGAGAAGTGCCATGGGATTTTTAATGACCACAGAGAGTCAGGGCCTCGGTTTAACGTCTCATCTAAAGGACGGTGCTCTTTGACAGTATAGTGTCCCCGTCAGTATACTGGGGCGTTAGGACCCACACAGACCACAGGGTGAGCGCCCCCTGCTGGCCTCACTAACACCTCTTCCAGCAGCAACCTGGTTTTCTCAGGAGGTCTCCCATCCAGGTACTAACCAGGCTCAGCCCTGCTTAGCTTCAGTGGGCAACCAGTCTTGGGCTACAGGGTGATATGGCTGCTGGCAAGAGTATGAAAGCAAATGTTTCCGCCCTGCAGGGCTGATCCTGACACACGGCTGACACACGGCTCACACAAGTCTGACACGCAACTGACACACGGCTCACACACGGCTGACACATGCGGCTGACACACAGCTGACTCACGGCTGACACACACACGGCTGACACACGGCTCACACACACGCAGCTGACTCACGGCTGACTCGCGGCTGACACACGGCTGACACACGGCTGAATCATGGCTGACACACGGCTGACACACGGCTCACACACGGCTGAATCATGGCTGACACACGGCTCACACACGGCTGAATCATGGCTGACACACGGCTCACACACGGCTCACACACGGCTGAATCATGGCTGACACACGGCTGACACACGGCTCACACACGGCTGAATCATGGCTGACACACGGCTCATGTGAGCGCAGTACCTGACTCAGGAGGTCGGTGGCGTCTCTGGCGTGTTGTGTCTCCAGAGTCTCGGGCAGCAGTGAATACAGAGCGCTGGACGCCTGCTTCCTCCCGGCCTCTTTATACTTACTCTGAAAACACACAAACACACTGATGAATCATGGGTAATCAGGTCTCACTGTACTGAGCCCCAAACCTGCAGACATTAAAAATAAATAAACATAGATAAAGAAATAAATCTAATAATAGAACAATAAATAAAGGAATAAATTACTTGATAAAACATGAATAATTCATTTTTACTTAAATTTAATCCTGATTTTTATCACTAACGCTTCTATCCATGAGCTTTGGGCCAATGACGCGCAAGAGCTACACAAGGACCGCCTCCCTCATTTACATGTTTACATTTTTAATTTATGCAGGTTTGGGCCTCTATATCACAGTATCTTTAATGGGTTCTAATCTTCATCATATGTGGCAGTGGCTCAGTGGTTCATGTAGGTTGTCTACAAACCGGAAGGTTGGTGGTTCAATCCCCGGTTCCACCTGACCAAGTGTCGAGGTGTCTATGAGCAAGACACCTAACCCCAGCTGCTCCCGACGAGCTGGATGGCGCCTTGCATGGCAGACACCGCCGTCGGGTGTGTGAATGTGAGGCAATATGTAAAGCGCTTTGGTGGCCATTGGGTCTGTGAAAGCGCTATATAAATGCAGTCCATTTACCATTTAGTAATCAAATTAATAGCAAACATAAGTATTTGCTGGAGATTAAGACAAGAAAGTGTCTTTAAAGTGTCTTGTAACTGAGGCACTGTTTGACCCCGGGGCTAAACGTGACTTTGACCCGGGGTTAAAGGTTACCTTGGCCCAGGCTTAAAGGTGACTTTGACCAAGGGTTAAATGTGACCTTGGCCCAGGGTTAAAGGTGACTTTGACATGGGGTTAAAGGTGACTTTGACCCGGGGTTAAAGGTTACCTTGGCCCAGGTGACTTTGACCCAGGGTTAAAGGCGACTTTGACCCGGGGTTAAAGCTGACCTTGGCCCGGGGTTAAATGTGACCTTAGACCCGGGGTTAAAGGTGACCTTGGCCCGGGGTTAAAGGTGACCTTAGACCCAGGGTTAAAGGGGACTTTGACCTAGGGTTAAAGGTGACTTTGACCCGGGGTTAAAGGTGACTTTGACATGGGGTTAAAGGTGACTTTGACCCGGGGTTAAAGGTTACCTTGGCCCAGGTGACTTTGACCCAGGGTTAAAGGCGACTTTGATCCGGGGTTAAAGGTGACCTTGGCCCGGGGTTAAATGTGACCTTAGACCCGGGGTTAAAGGTGACATTGGCCCGGGGTTAAATGTGACCTTAGACCCGGGGTTAAAGGTGACCTTGGCCCGGGGTTAAAGGTGACCTTAGACCCAGGGTTAAAGGGGACTTTGACACAGGGTTAAAGGCGACTTTGACCCGGGGTTAAAGGTGACCTTGGCCCGGGGTTAAATGTGACCTTAGACCCGGGGTTAAAGGTGACCTTGGCCCGGGGTTAAAGGTGACCTTAGACCCAGGGTTAAAGGGGACTTTGACCTAGGGTTAAAGGGGACTTTGACCTAGGGTTAAAGGTGACTTTGACCCGGGGTTAAAGGTGACTTTGACATGGGGTTAAAGGTGACTTTGACCCGGGGTTAAAGGTTACCTTGGCCCAGGTGACTTTGACCCAGGGTTAAAGGCGACTTTGACCCGGGTTAAAGGTGACCTTGGCCCGGGGTTAAATGTGACCTTAGACCCGGGGTTAAAGGTGACAT